AAATCCACAGTAAGTAATTTTTTTTATCTGTGCACATCTACACCTCGTGTTAACGAGTTCCTTTTTTCCAGAACTTAAAAAACAAAAAACAACTTTTCCAGCCTTGTTCACCTTTGCTATCCTATTTTGGCGCGGAACATTTTCCCTGATCTCGTACCACGAGATAATCTACTTGTTTTTCCATTTAATAAAAAAAATTACATTTGTTTTGAAAAAACAAATTTTTCCCGCCTTCTTCACCTTTGCTATCCTACAAAAAAAAAAAAGTGAAGTTTTGGTGAAATCGGTTGAAAAATGTAGATAGCCTTTCTCTGTAATCTTTTTACAATTTATGATTTTTACTTATTGAATACAGTAAAAAAATTGCATATTTTGCTTGTGGTGATTCATCATTAGAATTCTGATTTGAATATATTTTCCACTCGTTGTTTCTAATACAAAAAAATATTAACTTTATTTGGGTTTATTAATTTATTACAAGTACTGTGTTCTTTCCTTAATAATTATCATCTTCGAAATATTGTTGTTTTTTTGTCTATCAGATTTCTTACGTCGGCATTTTTTAAATTATTTTTAATACTTTCTTTTTTAAATATTGAATTAATTTAAAATAGAACCAATGCCTTATTGATCTGCCTTGTAACAAATTGCAAAGGGAATTGAAAAAACGGCCCTAAAGTACGTGGAATTATCTTTCCCTATTTTATCAAATCGAAAAAAATGATTATCTGTCCTTTTTTTGACCAAAAAAAAACAATATTTTTAACGAAAATTTCAGACGTGCTAAGAACGATTAAAAATGTAAAAAAAAATACTTTGATCTTTCCTCTTTAATAATAATATGAACATTAGACGATAAAATTTTGTTTTCGTCAAGTTCGGCTTTTTTTTCATCATGCTATGCTCTTTTGTTTACATGTTCGTGGGTGAGTTGTCCACCTTTCATTCTCACGATGTGTCTTAATCGTGTCTTCAAATTGATTTTATTAAAAAAACAACTATATTTTTTTCATTTTCGGCCCCGTTAGAACCACCAAAAGGTAATTTTATGTAATCCTGTGAAGTTTTGTTGAAATCGGATAAAAAATGGAGGAAATTCGATCCAACATATAAACATTACAGACACACACACACACACACACACAACCTGCGTTTTATAATAAGTAAGATATATGATGAAATATAGTTTAGAGGTATGCTCTATTTATGGATTAAAGTGCTCAATATCAGGGATAGAGCGTATATAAATATAAAAGTTGACATTGAAGTCAACACCCAGAGGCGACAGTTGTTTTCAGGCTAAACGCAATCGTCATTGCGTTTAGCATGAAACAAACTGCCCCCTCTGAGTATTGACTTCAAAGTCCACTTTGACATATATATATATATATATATATATATATATATATATATATATTCGTGTAACGCGCGGTCTCGTGTACCGTGCGACCCCTAAACTTTCACTTATAAAAAATGGTTTTATCATGTATCTCGTGTATCAAGCGAGTTCCTTTTTTGAGAGACCAAATTACAATAGGCTAACGTCTTTCCTTCTATCTAGTTATCCCATCTTCTAGATAAATAAGTTAAAATTGTAAAAGAGAACGGTAAAAGTATCGTTCGTAACGCTATAGTCATTGCGTAAACACATACAGCCATAAACGAGAAACAGCTAAACGTCTTATAAACGGAAACAATGAAAAAGATGCATAATCGCCATGCCTGTATTTTATAATACGATATAAATATGTGAATATTACATGCATTATTATTGGCTAAGTAAGACGTCAGTTTTATCCAAATTATGTTTATTTTAAATAAAGCTGTACGTTTTCACTACGGCAAATGGATATATAGTTTGTTCATCGGCGTAGACAGGGCCAGCAGTTCATAAGCTAATTTTATATCTCGTGTATGATGCAACCCTCTTAAAATTAGCTTCAAAATTAGGTCTTTCATGATAAGTATATATATATATATATATATATATATATATATATATATATATATATATATATATATATATATATATATATATATATATATATATATATAAATATATATATATATATATATATATATATATATAAATATATAAAATATAAACATTTTATGTTTAACGTTCTTTTTATAGATACAAGTATTTAAGTAAATGCTCTGTTTATAATAAACCGTATTAAATAACATTTACCGGCCTGAATGTCCAAAGGATCGTTTGGTTGGCAAGGTTGAATTTGTGGCCGAGCGGTCAAGGCACGTCAGCGTAAATGACGGTTCCGTATTGGATGCAGGTTCGAATCCTGTCAAAGGACGAAAATTTTCTATGAAAATTTCTCGGACATTCAGGCCGGTAAATGTTATTTAATACTGTTTATTATAAACAGAGCATTTACTTATATCTATAAAAAGAACGTTAAACATAAAAATGTCTTTAATAAATAAATTGTCGGACTTTGTCCATTTCTTAACATATATATATAGAGAGAGAGAGAGAGTGAGGTAATAATCCGTTGTTATATAATCCAAGTGAATCCTATTAATAAAAATATCAAAACTGATTCACATATAGATCTCGATGTTTTATTCAAACACACCATATATTACATACATTAGGGATTAAGATTATTTCAGTTTCTATTACCATTCCCCATGTCCAGACATTAATACTCTCTCAATGTATTCATTCTTCGCCTTCTCTTTACTTCCTATTTTGTAATTTCACTGATCTTTTTACTCTTACTTTTTCTTCCGTTTTTCTTTCTTTCTTTTTCGACTTTGCCTGGTTTTTAAAATCGTGTTTCTTTTTATTTCTTCTTATCCATGATAGGTTTGCACATTATTTTTAATTGGTTGGTGAAATGGTCATTACCTTGAAGTAATCTTAATTTTATATATATATATATATATATATATATATATATATATATATATATATATATATATATATATTAAAAGAAAAACAGATCACTTTAAGGTTCCATTATAATAATTTATTTCACCAGAGCCCTTTTAAAGGACGCCGGATCATTTCTTTAAAATATTAGCTCTGGAATTACATTGAGCTCTCAGGATTTTCATACTCCTTGGGACTACACATACGGATTACCAAGTTTTTCATAACTTAAAATTATATATATATATATATATATATATATATATATATATATATATATATATAAACTTTATTAAGTGTAACCAACTGGGAAGTTTTAATAAAAATAGACTTTTTTTTATATATACATCCCCAGTATTAAATAATTATGATACAATTTTAAAGCAACGTGCATTATTACAGAGGAAAAGTTTTTCTTGATATATAATTATTACGAGGTACAATACCAAAAACAGAGGAAGGTTGATAAGAAGATTGTATTGTATTAATTCCTCAACATGCTTCTCATGAAATTCAGTATCTGGGAACTTGGAATTTTACCTGAGTATAATCTGAAAACCTTGCATTTCACCGAGCTAATATCTGAGAACCGGGTATTTTACACTGGTGGTATGTTACCTTGGTAAAATCTACGAATCTGGCATGTTACCTGGATGAAAAATAAGAACTTGTAATTTTAACTTGGTGAAATCTTAAAGCGAATCATTTTACCGTGGTCAAATTTAAAAACATTGAAATTTACCTGGGAAAACACTGAGCATTTTGTCTGGTAATTAAAATTAAATTTGAAAATTTCACATTTTACCTGGGTAAAATCTGAGACCTGGTTATTTTACTGTAGCGAAATGTGAAAACTCATGTTTCTACCTTGGTAAAATATGAGAAACTGGCATTTTATCTGGGTAAAAATTACACGTTTTGCCTGGGTAAAATCTGAGAACCGGGTATTTTACCTTGATAAAATTTAAAAACCTAGGTTTTGACCTCGGTAAAATGTAAGAAGCTTGCATTTTACCAAGGCAAGTTCAACAGCCAGGCATTTTACCTGCGTCAAACACAAGCACATGATCAAATGTACAACTCATCTAATGAGGATCAAGAACCTTCTCTGATAGATGTTGTTCCCTGCTAGACATCCAAGAAAACGCTTTTCTTTAACGTAAGTATTTCTACTTCGAGAACATGTTTATATATGAATGCTTGTTTTAAAGTGTTACAATATCAGGCAAGTCTTTCCCTTGGCGGGTGAACACCTATATTTGAGCGATCGTTCCTATAATTTGTTCTTGACAAAGTTTAATTTTGTGTCAAGAGAACTGGGGATAATTTATTCATGTAGAATAAGAAAAAGAAGATGCAACAAACAAAGCCTGATGCATTTAAGAGAACTGACATATAGGGACGTAAATGTGTTTGGCAAGCAAATGTCTTTTATGAAGCTTTGTTTATTTATTGAAACGGGAAACAGGCATCGCATCATTACCTCTAAATGCATGTTCACACGCAAGTACACACATATACACAGACACACACACAGAGTGCAAGAAAGACAGACAAAGAAAGAAAGACGAAGGAAGGAAGGAAGGAAGGAAGGAAGGAAGGAAGGAAGGAAGGAAGGAAATGACAGAGAGCTTTAAATTTATCAGCAATAAGAAAGCAAAATTGACTGAGTTCGAATTTCGATTATGTTCGATTAGCTCTAATGGTGTCGACAAAGGCATGGATCAACATATCCCTGTGCACGAAATCTGCAAACTGAAGTGAAATTTCGTCTGAATTTGTTTGTGTTCTCTTAGCTCTAATGCTCTTTGGGAAAAAAGGCATGAATCCATTTATCCCTGTGCACGAAATCGTCAAACCTTGTTCGGCCGAGAATGGTTCTGTTCACTGATACTTTCGTCAAAGGCATGAATCAACTTACTTTGCTCGAAATTTGCAAGTTGAAGGGGAATATTATCTGATTCTGCTTGCGTTCGTTTAGTTCAAATGCTCTTTGGAATAGGCATGAATCCAATTTTTCCTGAATTTCGACTTTAATGCTCACTTTTATATCTATATTTAGATAAGCTCTATCTCTGATATTAAGCACTTTATCTCATAAATATAGCACACCTTAAAACTATATTTCTTCATCTATCTATCTATCTATCTATCTATCTATCTATCTATCTATCTATGTTAGGTTGCCACGCATGAAATGATGCACTTTATAGGAAATAAAACGCTTCTGAAATATAAAATAAGTAATTTATTTAGTTGACATAAGCACCATGTTGATGAATGTATGTTCTCCAATGTATCTCTAAATTCTTGCTCCCATCTTTAAAGACATTCTCATCCTTTGATGTGATAAACAGTTCAAATGTTTCGGTTACCACTTCCTTATTAAAGATTGTTTTAATGCCTATGAAAAACTAAATAGGCTTAAATAAGTGATGATCAGTAGGAGAGATACCAGGTGAATATGGAGGACGAGGCAACATTTCAGAAATTAGTTAATTGAGGAGCGTGCAGCCGTGCGTTGTCGTGCCGTAAAATTGGGCCATCCTTGTTTCTTTTACAATTTTTTATGCATACATTCAATGTCTCCTCAATACGAGGTTGCTGTTATTGTTTTCCTTTGAGGCAAGTATCAATAATGAATAACCCCTTTGAAAGACCACCATACAATAACCATTAACTTTCTAGGGTGCAGTGGAGGTTTTGGGTATTATTTTGGTGATTCACTTGCAACTAACTATTGGCCTACTCTCTTGCTATTGTCAAAGAGTATCCATTTTTCATCGCATGTAATGATTAGATGTAAAAATTGTTCCTTTTTTCCAGTTTGTACTCATAAAGTAGGATTATTCGATATTATTTCATTGTAATCATTTTCATTGGGCTTATGGGTAAGAATATATTGAAAGAAAAATTATCTGGAAAGAAAAAAAGAGTAGGGAATAAGTCAAGATTTTTTATATAATAAGGATCTTACTTCGTTAGATGACCGGATCAACCCCAAATCAAAAATGCGTCATTTGATGTGTGTCAACAATATATATATATATATATATATATATATATATATATAGAGGATTAATACAAATATAAAACTTGTCACTTAGCTGATTGTTGTCATATTCATATTCATCACCTCAACTCCAGAGTTTCGTAGATGAGACTTTTCGTTTTACTCGTCAGGAGGTATCAGTAAATATATATATATATATATATATATATATATATATATATATATATATATATATATATATATGTATTGACAAAGAGTGGAGAGAGAGAGAGAGAGAAAGAGATAAAGATTTATGTATGTATACTCACCGATCACTTTATTATGCATAATTTTTTTCCGTATCAGGTTGGACAAACTTTTGCATTTACAACCGCCTAAATTATTCTTAGGTGTAGGTACGATGGCGTAATGGATAGCCGATCGAACTGAGGAATCGGTGAGTCGAGATCGAATTATAGTCGGGTTCATTACGTGTTAATACCTTTGGGAAAGTGTATGAATACATCTATTCCCTAGGTCCTATAGCCTTGGGTGTCAACTGATCTATATAGAAGGTAATCTTTGATTTCGAACAAGCCTGAAGCAGGTTGGGTCCCGCTACGCTATCTCGCCCAGAAAACATCACTGCAGTATAAGTTGTGATGATCCTAAAGGGTTACGGGTCTCTTGATCAAATTTTTCTTGGTATGGCTTTGGCCATGTCCTCGAAGCCCTCCTTCAAAATTTGATTCCACTCTGTTATTATGGTATCCTGAAATTCTTCCTGATTTCTTGGCTACACATTCCCGGGTCGGCTTTTTACCATATAAGAAGGTATTCTATGGAAATGAGATATGGTAAGTGTGAAGTTCCATAAATATCTCATTGTTTGTTCCATGATCATATCTGTCATATTTGAACGTATGCTATCCTCAAGAGCCAGATCAGGCCGAAATTGGAACACTGTTGCCATATTTGGACAGGAGCTGCCCACATCTCACTTTCCATTTCAAAAGCGTCCCTGATTCCTTGTTGTAGAAGAATTATTTTCCACCGCCCAACCTTGCTCTCACACAGGCGGAATGTGGCAAGTCTCTCACCGCTCTATCGTCACTACCATGGAAAGTGATCGGGCGAACTGCATCTCCTGGTTCCGTCAGGTTTGACTTTCACGGCTCCAACCCGCCATGTCATTTAGTAGCAATCCACCCACATTCCCACCGTAAAGTAAGTTCCACTCAAACAGCTTCTTCCCGCAAGCCACTGTCCTATGGAACAGACTCCCAAGAGGATGTTGCCCCGATCACTACAATCTTAACCTGTTCAAGTCTAGAGTTAACCGTTATATTCCGCCCCACTGTCCATATAAACTACCCTCAACTCCGAGTGTTTCCCGGATTTTGTACAGAGTGAACCTTACTGTAACAAAACACTATTTTCTTTATCTGTAACATGGTGTGTTGTCCTGCTGGAACTGATCCACAGAAGTTGGGTGCACCGTAAACATAAACTGAGACTTTTTTTCTGTCTGAATTTCTGGGATGAGGAATTATTATTTACACTATTTATATTCGGACTATTACAGACTTTCAGTTAAATGTAGCTAATTCAACAGTAAAACGATGAGGTCTTTTTGCCAATCTAATAGTACGCTTAAATTCAAGCAGTCAAGTTACGAAGGAGAAATCATTAGAACAATTGCCATGAAAATAATCTAAAAAGCAAAGAGGGAAGACACTTGACAGCGGTGGGAAAGTAGCCACAGTCAACACGCTATTCATGACTCACCCATCTTCGTATTTTTTATCAAGAATATCGAGATACATAGCCGGAGTAGCAGACCAGATATGACATCTATATTCAATGTACAGACGGATACTAGATTTATAAATATGCAAGATGGACTCTGACGAGAAAAAAATATCTGGCACGACAGATTTTCTAGCAGCAAACTGAGCAATTGATTCAATTGATTAATCACTCCATTTCATGTCAGTGGGAAACGTGAGGCCAAAAAAGCGCAATGAGCACTTATCCTGATGATTAGCATAAACCATAATGATGGAAGGCGAAAAAAGTTCTCAATGGTGATTAAAAAAGAGCAGTTTTGTTTTGGAAGGAGTTAGAAATTACAAGTCATTCCTTGCCCCAGTTAATAACTGAGTGGAGGTAATTTTCTAGACTATCTCCCAGTTTTACTTTGTCGGGCCTACTAGGAGATTGTGTTGTCAGTATTAATACCCAGGTTGCGAGATGACAAAGCCAAATTTGTTGAGTGGAGAGAGTGTGCAGCGCTGGTCTTTTAAGTGGAGAATTCACTAGAGGTTATAGCAGTGTTTCAATAGGTCTCTACATCTTCGGAACAGGCGAAGCCCATTGAATTGTTTATTATACATTCCTGGGAATGTGTATATCTGTTTTGTATATACATGCCAACATCTTTCTCTCCATTAGTGATAGTTTTGATCTACTCTGACTCGACCAGAGAACAGACAGACTTTTTCGCTTCTCTTTCTGATAAACTCGAGCTGGAACAAAAGCCGATCCTGTGAAGACATTCCAAACACTCCGTTCTCACTTCTGATTACAAACAGCTGAGTAATTTTTGGCCAACATGTTTTCCTTTTTTGCTTTCATTTAATTTTTTTTTTTTTTTTTTTTTAAGTTTTCGGGTAGTATTTTGAGTGGGGCGATGTAGATTGGAATCAGGGAGGTTAATTTCTAACCAATGAACTTTGACCAATGAGAATTTTTTTTTTTTTTTATTTATGGTGGGTGGGGTTGGATAGATTGGTCAAATCGAGGTAAAGGCGAGCCCTGAAGTTTTGTATTTTTATTTTAGGTTTAGATAATTTTTTTTTTTTTTTAAATCTTTACATTTTTTTGCTCTTTGTTTGCCGGGTTGTCTACTGCGCCGTTTATATGTCTCGTATGATAAACGTGTATAGTTTAAGTCAGTTATCGCAGGCTACTACATCACAAGTCCACACTCGTTATCTTAACTTTTTCTTTCTTTCTTTCTTTCTTTCTTTCTTTCTTTCTTTCTTTCTTTCTTTCTTGCTTGCTTATCATTCTTTCTTTCTTACCTAAATACTTCTTCTTCTTCTTCAACTCCTTTTTTTTTAACTCTGCTTTTTTATTCTTTTTTCTTTCTTTCTTTTTCTTTCTTTTTTCTTTCTTTCTTTCTTTCTTTCTTTCTTTCTTTCCAACGATTTTCTGATTTCATCTCATCTTCCTCCCCTCCATCTCCTCAATTTCATCATCATCATCATCATCATCATCATCTTCTTCTTCTTCTTCTTCTTCTTCTTCTTCTTCTTCTTCTTCTTCTTTAAGTCTTTATTCTTTTTCATACATTCTTTCTTTCTTTCTTTCCAACGATTTTCTGATTTCTTCTACTTATTCTACCCCTTCCTTGTTCTTTTTCTAGTTAACTCTTTATTTCTTTTTGAATTTTTGTTACACCTTCTTTCTTTCTTTCTTTCTTTCTTTCTTTCTTTCTTTCTTCCTTTCTTTCTTTCTTTCTTTCACCTCCATCTTGTTTAGATTTTGTTTATCCATTCTTTTCTCTTTCTTTCATACTATCTTCTCTTCATCCATAATTCTTGTTCTCATCCTTTTCTTTTTCTTTCACTTCACCTCTTCTTCTTCGTCTCTTCTTGCTCCCCCTCCTCTCCTTTCTTCTCACTTCTCTTCTAATTCTCCCCCTTCTTCATCTCTTCTTCCATGTCGCCCTTATCCACACTTCTTTTAATAGTATATGTTGCTGTCGTTATTGTCATTATATTTGTTATTATTATTATTATTATTCCTTATTGTCATTATCTATGACTCTTCCTTTTTCTTGTTTCTCCTTTTATTTTAGCTTTATATCTTCCACTCTCTTTTCTTTTCCCCATCCTTATCTCCCCTTTTCCTGTTCCTTTTATTTTGCCTTTTCAGATAGACATTATGTCGCTACTGGTTTTCCTTTCGAAATCATTTTTATTTCATTCACGAGAAAAGCAATAATTTTTCGCATTCTTTTCATTCTTTTCTCTTGACTTCCTTGCAAAGACTTCTTTGGTTCTTGTTTTTTTTTTACCTTTTCCATGACCCTAGACCCGTCTCTTTTCTAGCACATCAAATTGTCGTATGATCGTTTTTCATTCCTTCTACCATTCTTTGTTTCCTTTTAGTTTTCTATGTTTTGTTTCTTTTTCTTTCTACTTTTCTCTTTCTCTTTTCTCACCTTTCTCATTTTTGATGATTCTCCCATTTCAATTTTTTTAAATCCTTATTTCTTTTCATATCCTTCTTTATTTTCTTTCTTTTTTCTTTTCTTCTTTCATTTTTTTTCCCCTTTTCTTCTTTTATTTTTTCCTTTTTACGCTTTTATGTTTTCCTCTTTTAATTTCTCTTCTTCCTTGTATTCGTACTTCTTCCGTTATTTTCTCTTTATTTTTCTCTTCTCTTCACTTCACTTTTCTTTTACTTTCTTTTTTCTTTCTTTCTTTTTCTTATTTTATTTTCTTCTAGTTTTTCATCGTTAACTTTTCCAACATTCTTCTCTTCCTCCTGCACTTTCTGCTTTTTTTCTCCTTTTTCCATTTTCTTACTCTTTCTTTCTGCTTTTTAATTTCATTCTTTTTGTCGTTTTTTTTTTCTACATTCTCTTTCTCCTCTCTTTATTCCATTTTTTATTTTTCTTCTTTCTTTCATTCTTTCTTTCTATTTCTGGCTTCACTTCTCTTTTTTGTCTTTCTTTTTACTTATTCCTTTCTTTACACTTTCTTTCTTTCTTTCTTTCTGTTTTCTTTCATTCTGTCTCTTCTCTTTGTTCAGATCTTTCTTTCTGTTCTTTCTTTCTTTCTTTCTTTCTTTCTTTCTTTCTTTCTTTCTTTCGTTCGTTCGTTCGTTCTTTCTTTCTCTTCTCTCTGTTCTGATCTTTCTTTCTTTCTTTTTTTTTCTTTCTGTTTTCTTTCATTCTGTCTCTTTTCTCTGTTCTGATCTTTCTTTCTGTTTTTCTGTTTGTTTTCTTTCTTTCTTTCTTTCTTTCTTTCTTTCTTTCTTTCTTTCTTTCTTTTTTTCTACCACCTTTCATTTATTTCTTTCTTCTCACTGCTACTTCTGATAGAGTCCCTTACCTTATTTTCCCCTCCCCCATATCTTTATTTTTTTTCTCTCTTTTCCTTTCGTACCCCTGCTTCATTCCAGCCTCACATATTTTCAAATTTTCTCCTTATTTTCAATTCCTCCTTTGTGTAGATTAAGAACTGATAATTTTATGAACGCCCTTTTCATGACCGGACACTCGACGCCAGGGCTGAAGACGAAACCCCTTCCAAAAGAGAAGAAGAGCAGAAATTTGGACAAGTGTGGAACTATTATTAGAAACTCCTTCACAGGAATTATCGTAGATTTTATAATCTCAGTCTAATAATATTGAACACGTGCCTACTCGTATTTTCACCAATTGTGGTCGATTGTTGCTTGACGTCATACAATAATAATAATAATAATAATAATAATAATAATAATAATAATGAAAATGATAATAATTCATCCTTGCTGTACAGGACCAATGCTTGCTAACTAGGAATTATTTAGCACGTATACTAAAATATGGTGTTATCCCAAAATGCAGATTCTGTGATAAATATCCAGAAACGATTGATCATCTTGTATCAGGTTGAACGATATTGGCACCCACTGAATATAAAACCCGGCATGACAGAGTAGGTCAAGATCTGCACTGGAAAATCTGCAACTTCTACGGAAAGGAAACTGAAAGAACATGGTATGAACACCACCCAGACCCGGTTACGGAGATAAGACCTGTTACAATTCTATGGGACTACACAATACACACTGACAGAACAATCAAGGCCAACCGGCCAGATATTGTCATTAAAGACCACAAACAAAAACGATTCCTCCTTATTGATATATCAGTCCCTGCTGACTGCAATGTATCTTTGAAGATATTCAAAAAGTTGTCAAAGTACAATGACCTTGAAATAGAAATCTCGAAAATGTGGCATATGTGAACATCAACAATCCCTGTTGTAGTTGGAGCCCTAGGACTGGTTGGAAAAGATTGCAGTAGACTAATTGAAGGGATTCCTGGAAGTCCATGCCTCAAGGAGATACAAAAAATTGTTTTGACAAGTACAGCCCACACTTTACGAAGGGCTTTATCCATGTAAAATATGTTTTTTTTTTTGTTTGTTTTTTTGTTTTTTTTTCAGTAGAAAGAGTCATGATGCCATTTCTAACCTTAGGTCTCTGAGCGAGACCCGGAAAGAAATGTGTAAACGCCAGAAATCAAAGAAAATAAAAACAACAACAACACCTCCATCACCACCACCACCACCACCACCACCAACAACAACAACAACAACAACAACAACAATAATACTACTACTACTACTACTACTAATAATAATAATAATAAGAAGAAGAACAACAACAACAAGTTGAAAATGTCACCGATTTCCTAGTTGAAATTCCTGATGAAACTTAATTCTTCATTTATTTTCTTTCTATGTGCCATGTCCTTTTAGGATGTAGGCGATCATGGCTCTCCACCTCCTTCTATCCCTTGCAGCTCTCAACAAGTTCCTTCCCTCTGCCACCTCCCCCAGACCACATTCTGTCATTCACTTGCTTAAGCCCGTTCATTATGTCAGGCGTTGTTTTCCCTTGTCTCTCTTTCCCACTATTCTACCCGTGAGCATCAGATTCTCCAGCCCCCCATCCATCATTATATATATACCAGGAACATCAGCTGCCTCTTCCTGATATTAAATATAAGCCTCCTCCTTGTTTGCATCCTCTCTAAGACCTCACACGCTCGGTTCATGATATCCTCAGCATCCTTCTTTAGGACCACATCTCCGTCGCCTTGAGTCTCTTCTTCATCTTTGAGGAAAACGTCCAAAATTCGTTGCCGTAAATTATTCATTTAATGGCTAAATAAGCGCATGGCGAGCTCTACGACAATAAAATCCCCGTATAAATTGAGCTTAACAACTTTAAGAAAATATTGCAATAATAATCCTAAATATGAATGCTGGTCGTTATTTTAAGAAGTAAGGGGGTACAAGTGAAAAGATTTGAAATTGAAAACTTCTTGCATTTCGCTGAAACAGAGGTTAAACATGTTAAATCTTCCCTTCTTTCTTTCATTTTCTTATTGAAACCAAACAGCGTCTTTGATATATCTTTTGTCTTCTCCCGCGATCAAAATGGAACTGGTCCATCAGTTATGAGATATTAGCAGGAGACGTTAGACGCTTGTATATTTCTTTCTTTTTTTTTACTGAAACCAATTAGCGACTCTGATACTTGTTATTTTTTTTTTTGTCTTTCCACGCAATCAAAATGGAATAGTCCATTATTTATGAGTTATTAGCAGGGCGAAACGGTCGTGCAAACTAACGATGGAAGGAACAAGGACAATTATAATAGGATGATAATGATTTTGGTTTTCTCAGGAGCTTCGGAAAGATGCGCCATTTTTATATTTTTCTTTGGAATTCGAAGTTCTATAATAATAATAATAATAATAATAATAATAATGATAAACAAGAAAACTCATACAAACCCCTGATCCAGTGGTGATTTAACACCATTGGATCAGGAAGAAGAAGAAGAAGAAGAAGAAGAAGAAGAAGAAGAACAACAACAACAACAACAAAATATACGAAAAAAGAACTAAACAAAATGAACACAAAACGATCAGCTTTAAAAAAGGACTCGTAACTGGAAAAAAACGAATGAAAAAAGAATGTTAACAACAAATACTTTTTCACACCCAAAACAGTTCTGCGGAATCAGAATTAACGTTGAGTTTAAGCAAGCGAAATGAGCGAATGTTGTTGTTGTTGTTCTTTATCTTCATCTTCTGTACCGAGGGATGGATGGTGAATGTGTCGCGAACAGAACTTCGGGAAAGTGGCGAACCCCTAAATACTTAAAGCCTTACCCAATGAACCAGGCAAATTTGGGCTGACTTCGTATCCTGCGTATTAACAATTAGGACTTGGACGCCAATCTTGAATACTCGCTCTCAAACTCAAACTAACAAAACCTGCGTCTCCCGGTGAAAAACAGTTGAAGCTGCCATCGAATTTTAAACGTCAACAAACCAATTCCAAACTATTTAGGAACCTGCTGAAAATGAAACCGGGGGTATTCCCAAATCAGATGCGCATGTTCCATCATCAACGCCAAATC